TTAAGTAAAAATATTCCAAGGCCATAAGCGATAATATAAAAACCTTGTGCAAAAAAAATACGCAGAAAAAATATAATTAATAATATAAAATTAGTTATCCATCGAAGACTAACAAATGGTGTGACTCGATCAAGTATATGTTGAGTATACATTCCAATACGACTGAATGAACTACTGGCTCCAGAACCACCTATATCCGTATCACCTAACGAATTCATTTGATTAGATTGAATGCCTTTTTATAAATATATATCAATTGCTTGTATTGCTTTAGTCAAAAAGGATGTGATTGCGTGTAATAATGTCTAAATATAAGATGTGGAATGATAAGATCTTTGATTGGCTTAATTTATAATAGATTGATAGAGGACGCTATAAATTTGTCTTGTCTTTATAAAAATAGAATTTTATTTAAAAAGTATTTATTTTCATAATTTCAAACTTTTTTTTTCATAAATATTATTTTTATGAATAACATTTATTTTAAACAAAGATAGGTAACGGGTCCATGTTTATTCGTTCTACGTTGATGGCGACGTGAAATAGTAGAATAGAGTAGCATTAAATTTTTCTTAATGCTTTTTTTTCTCCTTTTCTGCTTGTATTAAATCATATGAGATAAATATATCAAATTGATTTTAGATCATTTTCATTTATCCTATGGCATCTTTATTTGTTCATAGAAGTGAAATTAATTTTAATTCTTCTTGGTATGTATCTATATTTTTTTCTATTATAATTTGTACATGTGTGATAATTGTATGTCTGTCATTTTTGTTTCAATATGAGTATCATTCCGTTATAGACTAAATCATTTTCATCCATGTTCGATTACTTCTTATTTCATTATTGATAAATAGGTAAAACAGAAAAGTATCTTAGATATACAGGGGGAAAAAAATTCGCACACTCAAAATTAGATGTGTAATATTTTCTTATATATATGTGTGTGTGTTCTGTTTTGTTTTGGTTTTGGAAAATTAACTTACTAGAAAACGAAAAAGAGATTTTTTAAATATCAATTCATTCTAAAATTTTTGTAGGTTATGCCCAAAACTGATCTCGGTGATGTTTGTGGACGCCATTTGTCTTCGCGTCTATCAAGACAAACAGATTCATCATTATCAAATGATCAACAATCAATAAAACATTTTATAAATAACGAACATATTACTATTGAACATAAGCAACATACAATATTAACACAAAAACTTTTTTTTAAATCATATATTAAAAATCCATTAGATAAATTACGTCAACAATATACAATTATTCAAAGTAATAAAAGTGAAAAGAATATAAATAACATAATTATGCCGGCTAATAATGATGTTTTATTAACTGCATTCAATAATAATACAACAAATGGTACAAATGGTACAAATTCAAATCATCAATATCGTTCAACATATATTTCATGTAGTAATGGAAATACAAATGGAAATGGAAATACAAATGGAAATGGAAATCATTCAACATCTCCACCCTCTCAATCATCCATATCGTCTACTTCTTCTTCTTCTTCTTCTTCGTCATCATCGTCATCATCATCAGATAGTACTCCATCGTTAATGATGAATTGGGAATTATTAAAAGATCGTGGTTCTGGTTTAGTTAATCTTGGTAATACATGTTTTATAAATGCATCATTACAATGTTTAGCAAATACTCCTCCACTTGTCCAATGGATTTTATGTAATTCTCATTATCAATGTTGTCGTGTTAAATTAGAAAAACAATTTTGTTTATTTTGTGAAGCTGAACGTATTGTTAAATTAATGCATTCAAAAAGTTCTAATTCATCATTTTCATCTACTGTTGGTGCTGCTAATCCAAATAATATTGTTCGTCGTATTAAAGATATATCAACAACATTTAAAATTGGTCGTCAAGAAGATGCTAGTGAATTTCTTATATGTTTAATTGATAAAATTGTTGATGCATGTCTACGTTCATCTCAACCACCTGAACGTTTACGTCCATCATCTGGTACATCATATGAACAATTATGTCATTCCCAAACAATATTCCATGATCTATTTGGTCTTGTTTTACGTTCACGTGTTGTATGTTCACGTTGTCGTCATACCTCAGATACATTTGAAGTACAATATACATGGATTGTTGGTGTACGTAATCATACTGATTTACGACAATCATTACAACAATTCGTTTGTCATGAAACATTATCAGGTGAAAATCTATATCGTTGTATTAAATGTAAACAATTAGTACAAGCTATTAAACGATATACATTACATAAAGCACCAAAAATTCTATTAATTAATTTAAAACGTTTTGAATTTGGAAAAAATTCACATAAATTATCACATCTTGTTCGTTATCCTGAATATTTAAATGTGACTTCATATATGAGTGAAGAAAGTTCTAATGACGAATCATTAAATTATCGTTTATATGCTGTATTAGTTCATGTTGGTGCATCAATGCATTCAGGACATTATTTTTCATATGTACGTTCACCAAATAATCGTTGGTATAAAGCAGATGATACTTCAATGACACAATGTGATTTAAATCAAGTTTTAACTCAACATGGTGCATATATTTTATGTTATATTAAAGAAACTCCAACATCAACTAATGGAACAAATGGTTCATCATCAACGTCAACAACTACAACAACAGCAGCAGCAGCAAGTGCATCACCATCATCAACAACAACCAGTAAACTTGTTTATCAAAATGGAAAATTAAACAACAGTGAACAACAAACAACAACAAATGCAACTTTTTTTACACCACGTCAAATACCAGTTCAAAATCTTTCCAAGCAAAGTATGTTAATATATAATAAGACATATACATATGAAATGTTCAAAACATGTGTCTTTTTGTTATACAAAAAAGACCTATTGACATTTATTAACATAACAAATATTTACTTTTCTTGTTAGTTCTTATCATGTGATCTTTGAGCAGCTTTTAAGTCACTTAATCTAATATGAACTGATAAGAATAATGCAAAGAAGATTATTTATTATAAAGTTCAATTGAGCAATGATAATTTATTATGATGTAAACTGAAAGTGATGATCAAACTATTTGATTGATAAATTATGTATATTCACAAATATATGTAATCTCGTATCCGAAACGAATTAAGAAATAATAAAAAAAAATAATATTAATTTAATTGGGGATATTTGATTCATGACTAAACAAGTGTTTCAATTCGAATAAATGTTAAATAACTTTTTTCTTTTGCTATAATATTATTATTTTTTTGTCTAGCCAACGGACAAAATGGAAATATGAAAACAGTATCTTCATCTTTGACAAAACCTACTATTGTAACATCTAATACAGAAGCAACCAATGGTAGTAACGGTTTGTCAACAGAAAAACGAGCACCAATTGTTATGCGCATTCCAAAACTTAATTTCCTACCGACTAAGGTAAACATTATATATATTTAATAAAATTTATTATATTGTTAATTTTTTTTTATTTTAGTCGGTTTCACTGCAAGATAAATCAATAGCAAATACAAATTTAACAACATTATCTGCTTCCAAACTTGTTAATAAATCAAATACAAACTCTCTTATTTTATCAACGACAAAGAATAGTAATTATACAATATCTCCAACAACGTCATTATCAACTGTACAGTCGACTTCGTCACCATTAAAACTAATAATAAAAGCATCTGGTCCATCATCAACACTTAATGGACTTATGTCTATTTCAAAATCATATGATCATGATGACGATGATGATGACGACGATGATTACGATGAAAATAATGGTGATTCATCTGAACTTCAACAACCAGCAATGAAAAAACAACGAATTGAAGAGTCTCAGATATCACCGTCAATACCACCAGTTGCTCCTCTTCAATCTTCTGATCTTAATCCTGTTCCAGTTCCTAGTTCTAACTCTAACTCCATTTCTTCACATAGAAAATCAATTGATGAACAATCTGTTACTTCATCATCATCATCATCGCGAACAAAACATAAAAAGAAGAAGAAAAAAAAGAAATCTCATAAACATCATCATCGTCACTATCGTCATCATAAAAATCATCATCATCACAAACGATCTCGACGAGATAGTAGTCGAAGTCGAAGTCGGAGTCGAAGTCGGTCGCGTTCACCTATCTCGTCATCATCATCACATTATAATTCATCATTAATAACTGATGATCAATATCGACGACATCGGAAAAGTAAGAAACATCGTCGTCATAAACGATATAGTTCACCATCAGCGTCGCCATCATCACGCGAACCTTTGTGATAAAATTTTCATTTCTTTTCGGACTTTTTCTCCTTCTTTTTCTTTTTTGTAATGCGCACGTTCCTATTCGATCGCTCAATACGAACCGAAGAATTCACCACAACGGTGGAAGACATGCAGTGAGCACCACCACTATCATCAACTTTTTTGTACGTTTTCTTTCTCTATTTCATTTTTCGTTTGTTGTGTGTATTTCTCCGATATTGTACACCTGTGCTCATATTGCTAGCGACAGCTTGTTATCATCTTTGGATGTTTTTTCGGTCATATTGTCCATGTTGTTTGTTGTGGTGGTGCAATTTTCTCTTTTTCTTTTGCTTGTTGTTCTTTGTGTATGTGTGTTTCTTGTTTCTGTATTTCTCTGTTGACATACACATGTGTGTTTGATTAATGCAAAGAAAAAAAAAGAGAGACGAGTTTTGATGTTTGTGGAATGGCATAGAAATATTGAAAACAAAATTTTATTTATATGTCATACTTT